TCTCTCTCTCTCTCTCTCTCTCTCTCTCTCTCTCTCTCTCTCTCTCTCTCTCTCTCTCTCTCTCTCTCTCTCTCTCTCTCTCTCTCTCGTGATCATCGTGAATCCGTGATACAGTCTAACTAAAGCGATTGATTTACTAAAAAGATTCTCTGTTTGTTATCACCAGGATTTAACACTAGTTCGGACGGACGAATGTTCAGCCAAGTGGAACTTTTTGGGCTGTAAGGTGACTGTGCGGATGTACCCTCCTGAAGTCGGATGCGTAGCCAACACGGCAAATGGACCAGATTTACTAAAAGGGGGTGGATTAATTTTCCAGGGACTTCAGGACTTCAAATCGTACTCAGCAAGAAGAACAAAGAAAGCTGTAATTGCGGGATGCCTGCACCGAATTTGGAATCATACATTGGACAAGGCGGCAGCAGGACCAACCCTGTTGGGATTGAAGATGGAACTGCGCAGGAGGGGTTTCCCTGCCCGTATGTTCGACTCAGGAATTCAGGATTTTTCGCGTCAGAAAGATGGAGAATGGGACGAATGGATTCGAATACTGTGCGTGTGGGAGGGATATTAGAACGTACGAGCGTATTTGGCGGTGATCGTGTGACGTCAGGATTTTTAAAGTTTTTTAAAGTTGTTTTAATTTTTTAAAATTTGAATCTAAGTTTAGGGGGGAAACGTTTTCAAACCGGCCATAGGATACTGTGCAAAACCACGGAAATTACGAATTAGAAGAGGTGGACGCAAACGTTCGGTGGCGGGGTAAAAAAATTCGGGGAAAACAGAAACCCGTAACGAGTGTTTTCGAAATCGTAAATACGGGCCCGATTTTCACTCCGGTCAGGAAATGGACCAAATGGCGCCACGTTTCGCGAATTACGAAGTTCAAAGTTGGGCGGGAAGGTTTGTTTCTTTTTCACTTTTTCGCTTTTTAATTATTTTTCGTAGGACGGGTGAACCGGAAAATAGGAACTGAAGACGTCAAGGTACAAGACACTCGTAGATCGGAGGATTCAGGACTAGTATTTAGGCAACTACTGTAGACCATCGTACTCACCTTTCGCAGTACCCCCTGATGACGTCGGTCTGGCGCCGACAGAAACTAGTCGGGGAAATCGCCAGGATGCGGACAGCGGGACGCCCTGCTCCCATCTACAGCTGGTCTTCACGAAGCGCTCCGGCGATACTCTGAGCCGATCTTTGTACTTCATGTCGGGGCCCCTAGCTTCGGCAAGGTTTTCCCTTGTTATCTCAATATGACGAAAGGTTTTACTATGGTCTACTTGTGGTGTGTCTCACTCGTGTATGTGACTCGTGTATGATATCTCTAGCGTCTTTGGCTCATGTATGATGACTGGGATAGCAGCTTCACTTACCTTCTTGCTCTTTTCTGCGTCTCGCTTCGGCGTGACACGAGCCTGAGCACAGATTGACCGGGCAACTGGTCTCTCATCTGTTCTTGCTCACAAGGAAAGACAATGCAACCCAATTGCAAAAGCAGCACGAAACCCAGTCCAGGTATTGTGGCTGGAGGCATGCTGCGTGAGCTCTGCTTCAGCGCAGACTCACTTGAAAGCAGGGTGCCAGTTGGGAGGTAACGTGCGCATGGGTGCTGGTGGTGAGCGCTGCTGGATGCAGCGCAGCACAGTGGCCATAGCCGAGCCGCATGTGCATGTGAGCCGGTGGGTTTGGTTGTGGTCCTTGGGGGCAAGGTGGTCAGCCTGTGGAGGGACAGACAGGGATTGAGCAAGGAGAGAGAAGGGATGTACCTGGTGTGTCTTGGAGGTCTGCATGGGCGACATTGTCATGTACATCAGTCCATTCCTGAAGTGCTTCTGGTTGCATCAGGTAGTGTAGGCTAGTATAGGTGTCGTGAGTCTGTAGTTGGGCGCCAGACACCAAAGAGAAGCGCAACATTGGATGCGATTTTTGGTGGAGGCAAGATTGGGCTGACATTGACATTTGAGTTCATTGCTTTGCTCTTGTTTGGTGTGTGACTTGGTGCATTCTGCTTTCTGCTCGACACACGACTATATCTGGCTTTCAATGTGATGACGCAATTTGGATTTCTGCCATTCGCTCTCACTCGTTTTCCTTGCATATTCGTATGAGTGGACCGTACAACCTATAAATAATTTCAAAGACTAAGGGACTTGTATGAAAGTTGATATAATAATGAAACCATTACGACAACCTATAAGTATTAAATATTAAATAATTTCAAAGACTAAGGTACATGTATGAAACCATTATGGAGTAACCCGTGTTCGGCAGCAGTCTGGGGGCCCGAAACTGCGCCCAGACGACACAGGCCAAACACAGCCTGCGCCAGGCAGTGCGACCATGCACTGCCCCCCTGGAAAGTCAAGGGTCCAAGTCAGCTGTCAGGTCAAAGGTACCGTGCCCAGGCCCTTGGTCGGATACACTCACTTGTTGTGTGCAGGTACCCAGACAGCATCAAGGCCACAAGGAATTCTGTTTCAGGCCAATCTGGGCCGTCATTTGCGTTGAGATCTCGACGGCTGAGGGATGCAGCACCTGGGGTCCAGACCCCGCGTCAACACTACATAAGCGTTGACCTCCTGGCTTCGGGGGACATTCTGTCTTCCGTCAATGTTGACTTCACGCGTTGACGACGACGCTAGTGCGACGCTGCAACGCTGGCTGGACGCTGGCTCTACGCTGGCAACTGGGTGAACTATGGCGACACTCTGCTGGCTCTGCTTGGTGGCTGGCTTGCAAATTGTCTTCTGGGCATGCTGATGTGGCAGCTGCCACGCGCCGCCGCTGACGTGGCCGCTGCCACGTATATTATTGTTGTTGACGTGGTGAGGCTATGCGACTGGTATTGTTGTTCTGTTTCAACGTCATTCGGGAGGAGATCATGACTGTGGGGCGATAGTGGATACGTACCTGGTTATCTTGATGTCGACATTGCTCCAGCTCGCTGATGAGGACTGATTGACGTGCCATGTGGCACATTGTGATAGAACTTCAGATGCTTGTTCAGATTATTGATTTTTGAGGTGGTGATCGAGGAGGGAGCCCGAAGCCGAAGTGGGCATTGTCTTTTATTCTTCTTCTAAGTCTAATCTCCCTCCTCTCTCCTTCGTCTGTGTAATATTTTCCCATCTCATTCTATCTGGACACGATTATGATTATTGATAATCATCAGCAGGTTGATATTCATCTGGGCATGCATTTTTGACAAGTGTCTTCACGATCTGGGTTCATTGCAATTATGACAACCTATAAATATTAAATAATTTCAAAGACTAATTTAATTTCAAAAACTAAGTTACATGTATGAAACCATTACGACAACCTATAAATATTAAATAATTTCAAAGACTAAGGTACATGTATGAAACCATTACGACAACCTATAAATATTAAATAATTTCAAAGACCTAAGGTACATGTATGAAACCATTACGACGCATATGGCCAATGGCATTACTGCGTAGACGACATGTTGTCATGCTGCATGTGTGTGTGTGTGTGTGTGTGTGTGTATGTGTGTGAATGGAAACCTTTAGGCTAGGTAGCTACTATCTTGGGCTGCGGGCTGCAAGAGCATAAATTGCAGGTTTTGTCTTTTCTTTAATGTATAGCATTTTCAGTTGCAATTTTGTTGTTGACGTTCAGCGAATGTATTCTGAATGCTGTCTAGGTGCGCAGAAATAAATACATTGAGATCATTCCCATCAATGTTGGATGCCTGGGCGCTTGCACTTACTGCAAGACAAAGCATGCAAGAGGACATTTGGGGAGTTACCCTATTCCTGTTCTGGTAAGTAAGGCACACCCTTTCTTGGTTTATTCCTGCTTGGGTACGTGACATGGACTTTTTTCCTTTTCTTCGTTAAACTTCTTTTCTATATGTAAATATATAAATAGTTTGAAGCATTTCTTGAGCTTTGTCTGTCATCCGTGAATATGTTTAAGAAATGAATATATCCTTGGATGGCCCATTCTAAATTTCTAATTGATTCTCAAGAATGTGCCGGTTCACGGATGGGCCCATTCTAATTGGTTCTCTATGTATCGTTCCCAAGTGTGACATGTTCTTTGTTGTTGGCGTATTAAATTATTGATGTAATATTTTGTTTTATAATTTTTTTTTTATTATGTATTTGTTACATCTGCTGCTGCTGTTGCTGCTGCTGGTGCTGCTGCTGGTGCTGCTGCTGGTGCTGCTGCTCATCATCCTGGTGCTGCTTTTGCTGCTGGGCCAAGTCCCACTAGCAAAGAGGATGCACATCCAGATTCAGGATTAACATCCAGATTCAAGAACTGGATGTGTTTTATGCAGAGATGCAGAAAAACAGATCAATCGCCATTTTCTGCACCTCTCCACAACGACGTCCACATTCAGGCACTAAATCCATCCTCTTTACTACTTGGTAGTAGGTCCTTGCCCCCGCTGTTGTTATTGCTGCCACTGTTGCTGTTGCTGTTGTTGTTGCTGTTGCTGTTGCTGTTGCTGTTGCTGATACTTTTGCTGCAATTGGAACTGCTGCTGCTGCTGCTGCTGCTGCTCTGGTGAATTGCTATAAGGGAGGACAGGCTTTTTGTTGTGTCCCGAGTAGCATTGTGAATAATTACGTCTTTACAGTCAGTCCAGGCTCCGGTACAGTGGTCCGCTGCTCCGCGGACCCGTTCTTGCGCTGTGGAGCTGTTGTTGCTATGCTACTGTCTGGTGATCACTAACTTAATAACCAGGTTAGTAATCAGTTAGTAATCAGTTAGTAATCAGTTAGTAATTAATAGTAACTTGGTTAGTACTAATTTGGTTAGAACTAAGTAGTAATTTGGTTAGTAGTAATTTGATTAATAGTAATTTGGTCAGTAGTAAATTTGGTTAGTAACTTGGTTAGTAGTAACTTGGTTAATAGTAAATTTGGTTAGTAGTAACTTGGTTAGTAGTAATTTGGTTAGTAGTAACTTGGTACTCAATAGTAGAAGAGAATAGGAAAACGGAGTGGTTGCACCTCGTAACTTAACTTATTAACCGAGTGAGTAGTCGGTTAGTAAATTAGTCAGTGCTCAGTAACAGTAGAAGAGGAGCACGGCTTGCTTGAGACTGGTGAATAAGTTGGTTAAAAAAGTAAATTACTGCTCGAAGTCTTAAACCACCAGTCCCTTTCCCGGCGTGTTATTTGTTCCCTGTCTTCCGACGCATGCGAGTTAACCCCTCTGCAAGCAATCCATGCTCCTCGGCTTCCGCCGCATGAGTTAACCCTCGGCAAAATGGCAGGTCATGTAGCATACCGTAACGGGACAGACCAGAACAAGAACCGACCTCTCTCACGTAGTACAGGATAGCGCAGCAGAAGGCTAAAATACCAATGATCAGACCAATCAATGTCGCAATGCAGACCAAACATACATCATCATCATCATTCCATGGTGTGAAGGGGCCTGACGCTCACACAGGAGGAATGCGCCAGTCCCCAACCATACACGGACAAAGAAGAGGGGGGTTAGACGAAGAAGAGGGGGGAGGTGGGAATGTCGTCAACACCAAGTCTTCGGTACAGGTCCCACGTCCAATGTCTCAATCCCAATGTCGAGTCTGGATCCAAATGTTGTCAAGTCCCAAAGTCACCAATCTCTCTCTCTCTCTCTCTCTCTCTCTCTCTCTCTCTCTCTCTCTCTCTCTCTCT